GCAACAATGAATGAATGGAATTCCAAAATCTCTGTAGATGTTCATTGAAATGAAAAATAAAGAAATTAAAAAAAAAAAAAACCCAACTAATTAAAAAAAATGCTATAGCAACATCAGCTGGACTCTAGCCATGTGCACTTGCAAACTGAGGTAGGTAGAAGGGACAAGGATATTTTCCTGCAGCTGGGAGTAAGATAGGGATTGTACCTTTGGGAAAATAAGCTGATTCTGTGTATTTTTTCGCACTTGAGATCTGAGCCAGGGAGACAGGCTTAGTGAGTGCAGGGCCCAGATAGAGAGTGTGCATGAGGGTCACTGGGTAATCTCTCACGGGCTTGTAACTGCTGTTCCCTGTAGCACTCTCTCCAACAGGGCCTTTTGATCTAGGTCCTCTGCCAGTTCTCTGCAATTCTCATTCTTTTCCACCTAAATCTGAAGAGTGCCCACATGTGAAGTGGTATTTCTTGTGAGTAGATTTAATTAGACATCTTGCTGAAACTAGCAGGCAAGAAGGAAGCACAGACAAATAAGGAATGGCTTTATCCCTGTAAGAAACAATAAAGTATTTCTGAACCAAACATGGAGATGGATGTTATTTGGGCTTCCTTTACAATAAATAAGTGGAAAATGGTGGTGGTGGGAGGGAGGAATGAATCCCCAAACACAACAACTTTCTCCAGTACCTGTATCCCAGTTCCTCGCTGAGCTGGATCATATGAAGAATATACGACTCCTTGCTCGTTCCAGTGAGGCCAGGCAACAGTAAGATCGTAGGTCTGGTGCTGGCATCTATGTAGCTCTTACTGTTATCATTATCAAACCAATCCAGTGAGATCTGCCCTCCGTCTGGAGTTTTAATAAGCTCACTAAAGGGAAGAATTCAAAAGACATTACTCATTAAATATTTTAAGTTATGGCTTAATCTAAAAATGAGTTTTTATTAAATATTCACATATATGTACACTGCAGTAAGTTAGGAACATGACTTATGGGCAACTCCTACTTGTCCCTTGTTGTCGGAAGAGATCGCTCATCGTTCTCCTGCAGAGGAGCTTAGTGTTCTGTAAATCTGCCTACACTTTGAAACAACTGAACTTACCCTGTTGTCATTATTGTGTACCATCGAGTCAGAGCTGACCCACAGCTGATTCTCCAGTGGGTATCAGAGGCAGTCAATCACATGGGAGGAGACTGCCCATTTTTCTCTCTCAGAGCACCTGATAGATTTGAACCATACGCTTTTAGGTTGGCAGTGAAACATCTTACCAATAAGCCACCAGATCTCTCCAAATTAACCCTCAGTCTAACAAATTCCTCATCACAATCACTGTCTCTTGCTGCACACACAGCTTTTAAACCACTGAAAAAGCTTTGCCCCTTTTACTGCAATAACTCGAACTCAACAGCTTTCAAGACAGGACTCAGCTGACCCTCCACTGGTTTCCAAGGACATCTTTCTCTTTAGGCAGTAAGGATAGCAAAATACCTACAAATTGGACATAAAGTCACATTGAGGGACAGACCTCATTTGCAAGCCAGGGACTGCCTGTTAACTACAACTAAGTCACACTGACTTACAATATAAGGGTTAGTACAATAAAATAATTTTCAGCAACATCAGTAAAATATATTAAAAACCTTCACGTCACTTCAAATATTTACCCTAATCATTCTGTGATTACTCTAAAATACCCAGCATTTAACCCCTATTTGATTGAGGTCACCCAAATAATTCAACAGGGAATTATCAACGTGTAAAAATGCCAATCTTATCACTACTCGGTCTTCTGACTCAGGATGCAGTCATCTGGCAAAGTGTAACACAAAATTACTTCTTCAGGATTTTCAAGTGCTTCTTAAACAGTTTGTAGGAATTGACAGGATTTTCCCAAATAGAGCAAGTTCAAGGCAACAAAGAAACTTCAGGAGGACTAGATGACAGCAGGTAAATTAATACCAGACACCATTTAAATATTCTTGTAAGGGATATATTTTGGGCCATCTTTTTGTCATCTTAGGACATAGTTATGAAAAACCTAGTTGCCTGTCAACATGAAGGTCTTTTATATGTGTCCCTCACACATCATCCAAATTAATTGTCTTTCTTCTCTGACTCCTCACCTATACCTAATACCAATCAATGAAACAGTTCATGTCATTAAAGGTTCTAGTTCCTTGGGGATTGGTGAATGACAAACGAGAAAACAATAACCTGCAAACATGTCTCGAAACCTAAACATAGAAATAAGTCACTTCTATCAGATCACCCATGTAAGAAAGACGTGACAAGCAGTATCAGTATTTACTGCGGCTGGCAGTGGGGTAGGAGACCTACCTTCCATTTTCATTTCCCCTTTCTTTGCTAAATACCTACAAAACCAGACCTACTATCAAACCCAGACAGTTTTTCAGAATGTGTCCCCCAAAACTGCATCTGGAGAAATTACTTACTTCCTGTACTGCACCGAGGGCTTGGAGGCGATGAAGGGTCTCAGCAGCGTCTGGCCCCGGCTCTCCCAGCACCACACGGTGGGGTAGTACGTCTCGGTCACCACCGGGCAGTGGTCCTGAAGAAAGCGGTTGAAACTCTCACCTCCGGTCACTACCTGGGGTTTCTGAGGGAAAAACCAGGATCGGTAAAGGGTTCAGACAGAGCACAGTTTCTGTCCGCCGTAAAACGGGAATGAGCGCAGGCTTGGCCCTCCCCCGCCCCCGCCCCCGCTCTCAGATGCACCCGTGCGTCCTCCCGATGACATCTCCCTCCGAGGGAGATGGCAAGCAATTCCCTATCACAGGGACGTGTGTACTCACAACGGTGATAAAGTACACACACAGATACACACACAGGGAAAGGCGAGCGTTAAGATCAAGAAGTCAGCATCAAAAGTGCACGAGCACGGCGCCCCGCCGAGGTCGGGGGAGGGGGGGGTGGCGAGGGGACTAGCTGCAGCTTCAAGTCCAGTACCGGCCAGATCACCCGCGCGCCCGGGAAGTCGTCCATCGGATGCCGGCAAGAAGCAACCCTTGTGGAGCAACTGTGCGGGCCCCGGCCGCGCCCCTCGAGCGGCAGCGCCGGTTCCCCGGGTTTCCCCGGCTCCGGCTCGGCGCTCAGCCGCCTGCGGCCCTGCGCGCGGGTTGCCCGCGCCGCCCCTCGGCTCACCTTGGCAATGCTGCTAAGGTAGTAGCAGGCATAGGCGACGCTGAAGCCCAGGATCAGGGATAAGCCCACTCCCGAACCGAAGAAGCCGACCCGGACCTGGTGCTCCAGATAGAGCGAGAGCTCCCGAGAGAGCATCCGCAGGTCCATGGCCAGCCGCTGCATGGCCGGGAGGGCTGAGAGCGGGCGCTGCGGGACACCCGCCGGCCGGTGAGTGAGCGCGAGCCGGCAGCGCGCTCCGACTCGCCGCCACAGCGTCTCCTGACGGCAGAGCCGCAGGAGCCAACAGGGTCGGCCGCTGGGCGGAGCTCGGCCCACCGCGCGCCGTCTGCACCAATAGGCTCGAGATGGGGCGGAGCCTGAGACGCCGAGACCCGCCCACAACAACAGGCTCGGCCGAGGGGCGGAGCCCGGGCCGCCTTGCACCGCAGGCTCCGCCTCGATTCCGGGCCCGCCCTCGGTCTGCAGCTCGGGAACCTTCGAGAGACGCGCTTCCCAATCCGTCCACGGAAAGAGTGTCTGGGCGGTTTCGCTAGCAGCCCTGGCGAATCCCAAGAGTGGAGGGAATGGGCAGTCTCACAGACAGCGATGCTCTGCAGCTGCTTGCTCAGGTCGCCACGGGCATCTACCCCTGCGACCTTGAACACAGGGGTTTACTCTAAAGCAGCGCTTCAGGGTGCTCAGAATGTGTGCCTAGATTCAAAGACTTTAGAGGCCAAAACAATGTTAGGAAAATGCATCTTGTAGCCAAAGAATCCTACATCCTCTAGGAATTTATGTTGCCCCCGAAAGACAATCAAAAGGGGGAAAAATTCTGTAAACATCAAATAGGACATTCATATTGAATTTTAATCTTTCTGTGCATCCTTTGTGATTGAAATAAGAAACAGTTCTTAAAAAGAAGTGAAAAGGCCACAAGAAATGAAATTTCAATAATTTAGAAAGCCTCTTTGTGGTTACTGATGCTTTCAACTTAGAGACATACCAAAACTCTTTGAAGTGTGTTTTTGAGATGCTTTTAGACATCTGAAAGAGAAGAGCTGTCACTGGGGATTCTGTCCTCCAGGTGATACCAACAGTAGCATGACAGGGAAGAGAAAGAAGGTAAAGGGCCATATAGAATTCCTTAGAAAGTTCATAGGGTTGTAAAATTAATAAATTGGGGGTAACTCAATTCAACTACTGAGTTAGAACTGATTCATAGCTGACCCTCTACTGAGTGTCCAAAGAGCATGGAAGGAGATTGGCCAGCTTACCCACAGAGAGAAGCCGGGGAATTTGAACTATATGCCTATGAATTCACATAAACAACTCTGTACGACTCATTAGGCCATCAGAGTTCTCTTGGGGCGGGGCGGGTGCTGATGGATTCAAATCTCCAGAGAGGCCCCATCCTTGGGTTAGCAGGACAACTTTTCAGGGCTACCCTAGCAGAACTCTCTGACTTGGGAGAGGAGAGTTGGGAATAGCACTCAAATGCACACATACACACACACAAAATAAAATAAAAATTGAGCAACTTGGTTGTAATTTTGCCATTGTCACATAGACTTACAATGTGTGGTTGCCAGTGATAGTTGCTGGCACAGAAAAATTCAATGCACAGTGGACTGAACGTGTGTATGCGTGCATGAGTGTGCATCTGCGTTTAATCTGTACAATAACAATTTCAACTTTATAGGGCTGTCAAAAGGACTAACTGTAATAATGTGGCTAGTAGCCTCACTCTGAGCACAAGCATAAATCTCTCTCACTCAAAGACTCTTCTTAGTAAACATGCGTGCAGTGCTGGTTTTCCCTCCAACACTTGACATGTGATGTTCTTTGAAATGACAACATCTCTCTTTTCTACCTGTTGCCACTGGGATCCCAACTGGCCTCAAAGGGTTCTGCCTTTTTCTCCTATTTAGTGTGTGCATGAGCAAACATTTTTACGTGCAGCAGATGAAAAGGAGATAGAGGCTAATTCCTTTGGACAATATTGTATTAAATAAAGGAAGTTTTGGGACCGTGTTTGTATTTCATATTTTTATGAGGGAAATGTGGGATTTCCTTAGGAAAAGCTCTTGTATGCAAATCAGGAGCCATGAGCAGCTGATATTCAAAATGCAGTCTGGTTGAGTAGCCTTTGCACTGTGGTCATCATAGAGCATGCGTTTTAGGCTTTCTTCTTCATGGCTGCTTCCCATAAAAGGTCATGTAGTGGTCACCCTTCCTGCTTCAATGCACACCTAGCACGTGAAGGCTATTGAAAATCACTTTAAAATAGAAACTATTGTTGTTTGTTGTTATGTGCCGTCGAGTCATTTGCGACTCATAACGACCCTATGTACAACAGCCCTAAACCCTGCTCTATCCTGTGCCAATCACATTGCCTCTGACACACCCATCCCGATTACCCCAGTCAATCCACCTCATAGAGGGTCTTCCCCTCCTGTGCTGTCCCTCTACACTACCAAGCATGATGTCCCTCTCCAAAGACCTGTCTCTCCTCACAACATGTCCAAAGTATGTCAGAATCCTTGCCTCCAAGGAGTAACCTGGTTTAACCCTCTCTAGGATGAATCTGTTTGTTTTCTTGGCAGTCCATGGAACATTCAATACTCTTCTCCGGCACCACAGCTCAAAGGCGTCAATTCTCCTTCTATCCTCCCTAGTCATTGTCCAACTCTCTGATGCATAACAAGTGGTTGCAAAGACCATGGCCCGTATCGGGCGCACCTTAGTCTCCAGAGAGACACCGTTGCTTTTGAGTACTTTAGAGAGGTCCCTAACCACAGACTTTCCCATCACAATATGTGTTTTGATTTCCTGGCTGCTGGTGCCAAGAGTGTTGACCGTGGAGCTGAGCAAACTGAAGCTGTGAACAATCTCAATCTCTTCACCATCCATCCTGATGCTACCGATTGGTCCAGTGGTGAGAATTTTTGTCTTCTTGACATTGAGCCTAAGTCCATACTGAAGGCTGCAGTCCTTGACCCTCTGCAGTAAGTGCATGAGGTCCTCCTCAGTTTCAGCGAGCAGGGTTGTGTCGTCTGCATAACGCAGATTGTTGACAGATCTTCCACCAATCCTAACGCCACACTTCTCCTCATAGAGCCCAGCCTCTCGGGTAATCTGCTCTGCATACAGGTTGAAAAGGTATGGAGATAGGACACATCCCTAGCGTACACCCTTCTCAATTTTGAACCATGCAGTGTTGCCCTCCTCTGTTCTGACAACTGCCTCTTGGTCAAAGTATAGGTTTCGCATTAGCACGATTAAATGTTCTGGGATTCCCATTCTTCTCAGAGTCAGCCACAGTTTGTTATGATCCACACAGTCAAATGCCTTTGCATAATCAATGAAACACAGATAGATAGTAAAGTTAAATTTTGTCAGGAAGGAAAATCTGGAGTTTCCTGAATTCTGTAGCCTGGGTGTACCTGGGCTTTGGGATAAGTAAACAATCGTTGTGAGTAGATTCCTTGATCTGAACTGTCTTGGGGGGAGGAATGATATTTATACAATAGGAAAAAAAAGTAGTTTTAATTTTGGGAATATTATGTAAAGAGAATAAGAGAATGTAAGGAAAGACTTTTGTGGTGGTTGTTTTTATTTATTAAAAGGTAGGTTAAGAGGGAAGAAGGGTTTTTTGTTGTGTTTTTTTTTTAACCAGCAGACAATTTGTTATTAGATGCTGTCTAATCACCTATAACTCATAGCAATCCTACGAAAAATAGATCTGAAACTTGCCTATTATGTGCCATCCTCATGATCACTGCCATGTTCCAGTGCAATGTTGCAGTCACTGTGTCAATTTTCACTGTGTCACTTTTTCACAGGACTTTTAGCCTTCCTAGCATGATGTCTTTTTCCAAGGACTGGCCTCTTCTGACAACATTCTCTAAAGTATGTGAGATGAAGTTTCACCATCCTTGCTTCTTAGGAGAACTCTGGTTGCACTTCCTCCAAGATAAATTTGTTCTTTTGGGAGACCATGAAGTATCCAAATTTCTTCTCCAACACCAAATACAATTCAAAGACATTGAATTTATTTATTTATTTTATTTTTTGTCATCTTTAGTCATTATCCAAGTTTTAGATGCATAGGAAACAACTGAAAACACCATGGCTGGGATTAGATACCCCTTAGTCTTTGATGTTGCATCCTTGCTCATCAGGATTCTAGAGGGGTTCTTGACACCGGATTTTCCCAATGCAACTCATCTTTTGATTTCTTGACTGCTGCTACCCATGGGCATTGCCTGTAAATCCAAGTAGAATTAAACCATTGACAACTTCAATCTTTTCTCCATCTGTAACGATGTTGTTACCTATTGTTTCAGTGGTGAGGACTGTTGTTTTTTTTGAGGTTGAGATGCAATCCATATTGAAGGCCATAATCTTTGATTTTCTTCAGCAAGTGCTTCAAGTCTTCTTCACTCTCTATAAGCAAGACTGTATCATCTATATAAGGCAGCCTGTTGTTGAGTCTTTTTCCAATCTTAATGTCACAAACTTCTTCATATAGTCTGGCTTCTCAAATTATTTGCTCAGCAGAGAGACTAAATAATTTGAGAGAAAAGATAATAAACCTGATGTAAACCATGCAATGTGCCCTTGTTCTCTTTGGACAACTGCTTCTTGCCCTATGTGTAAGTTTCCTGAGCGCGCTGTTGTTTTGAGAGTCTCATTCTTTTCAATGTTAGCCATAAGTCTTTGCATAGTCAATAAAATACAAATAAGACTTTCTTCCGATGTTCTCTGCTTTCAGCCAAGATCCAGCTGAGATCTTTTGTGTTGTGCCCTTTTCTGAACCCAGCTTGAACTGCTGGCAGTTCTTTGTTGTTTTTTTGTTCCAACTGTTTGGTTTTTAAAAAAATGTTCTGCAAGATTTTACTACTCATAGACATACAAGGAAGATCTGTTAATTCCTACTCAAATACAGATAAAAACACTGAAGTCAAAGATGAAGAAATTGAAGATTTTTGCCAAATTTTGTGGTCAGAAATCTATCAAATATGCAATCAAAGTACATTAATAAAAATATGCATTAATAATAATTGGTGGCTAGAATGCAAAAGAAGGACTTGTAGTTAGAAAATACGGTCTTGGTGACAAATGCAGCTAGAGGCTGCATGATAGAAATTTGTACACTCAATTATTAATAATTGCAATTACATTAAGAAAAACCAATAAATGGTGACTATACTAATGGGCCTCACGTGACAGACTACAGAGGCATCTGACTGACTACATATGTGGAAAGAGTCTATAAAGAAGCTCAATATCAGTAGTCAAAATAAGGCTGGGACTGATTGAGGAATAGACCATATCAGTTACTCCTGTGCAAGTTCAAATGGAAGCTGAAGAAAATTGAAACAAGTTCACAATAACCAAAATATAACTGAGTCTATTCTAACTGAATTTAAAAACCAGCTCAAGAATAGATTTGATTCACTGTACCCTAATAAAAGTCCTGACAAGTTGTGATGTCAAGGACATCATCCATGAAGAAAGCAAAAGGTTATTACAAGGACAGGAAAAAGGAAAAAAATATTAAAAAATGGATGTCAGAAGAGACTCCGAAACTTGCACTTAAGTTAGGTGCTGTCGAGCTGAGTGTGACTCATAGTGACCCTGTGAATGACAAATTTGAAGCCTGTCCTATATCCTGTGCCATCCTTAAATTTTCCAACACACAAGAAAGAGCCCATTGTGAGACTCACCATGTCAATCCACCTGGTTGAGGGTCTTCCTCTCCTTTGCTTTTCCAAGCATGATGTCTCTCTCCAAAGAACAGCCTCTCCTAGCAATATGCCCAAAGTATGTGAGATGAAGTCTTATCATCTTCACCTCCAAGGAGGACTTTGGCTGCACTTTCTCCAAGGCATATTTGTTTGTCCTTTTGACAGTCCATGGGACATTCAGTATTCTTCTCCAACACCACAACTCAAAGACATCAATTCTTCTTCTGTCATTCTTATTCATTGTCCAGCTCTCAGATGCATAATAAGTTATTGGAAATACCAAGACCTGAATCAGACACACCTTAGTCCTCAAGCTGACGTCACGGCTTCTCAAATTAGGAGAGATCCCCGACTGCCAGGTTTCCCAGTGCACTATGTCTCCTGCTTTCCTAATTGCTTGTACCAAGGGTGTTGATTGTGGATCCAAGTAAGATGATGTTGTTGACAATTTCGATCTTTTTTCCATCTCTTATGATGTTGCTGATTGGTCCAGTGGTAAGAATTTTTGTTTTCTTGATGCTGAGATGCAATCCATATTGAAGGACTTCATCTGAAGCACTTGAATGTAGAGATGCCAAAACAAAGCAGAGAAATGCTGAAGTAAGAGAGCTGAACAGGAAGTTTCAAATGGCAACTTGAAAAGAAAAGGCAAACTATTTTTTTTCTTTTAAAGTGTAAAGAGCTGGAGTTCGAAAACCAAAAGAGCATGCTCTGCATTTCTCAAGTTGAAAGAACTGAGGAACAAATTCAAGCTTCAAGCTGCAATACTGAAGAATTCAGTGAGCCGAATCTTAAATGATGTAGGAAACATCAAAAGAAGATGGAAAGAATACACAGTCATAGGACCAAAAAGAAATGGTTGACACTGAAACATTTTAGGCAGTAGCATATGATAAAGAACCAATGATACTGAAGGAAGAAGTTCAAGCTACACTGAAGGCACTGACAAACAACAAGGATCCTATTGTTCTCATCCCTCCCCCCCCCGCCCCCCGAAAAAAAAGATCCAACAGGTGGTATGAGGTAGGGTGATAATTATTTTAATGAAAACAGCCCTGGTGCTAAGAGTCCTGTTATTGTAAAGGAGATGACCCACAGCTATCAGGCGATTTGGACTCAGAACTACTCTCCACTGACTTCCCAAATGGCTCATTTTCCCCTGGTGGAGAAGCTTATAACCTGCAAGGCATTCGGCCTCCATTTGTTGTTGTTAGGTGCCACTGAGTCAGCTCTGATTCCTAGTGATCCATGTAAAACAGATTTCAACCTTGTGGATCTGGCCCCATCCTCACAATATCAGCTGTGCTTAAATCTGTCGCTGCAATCACTGTGTAAATTCACCTCTTTCAGGGTCTTTCTCTTCTTTGCCAACTCCCCCCCTTTCAAAGGATCATGTTCCCTTCCAACAATTGGCCGCTTCTCCCACAACATGACCAAAGGATATGAGAGAAAGTCTCACTACATTTGCCCCTGAAGAAGACCCAAGCTGCATTTCTTCCAAGACAGATTAACTGACTCTGAAAATCTGGTGGAGGGTCAGCTATGGGTTGATTCCGACTTGATGGGACACAACAACAACAGCATATGAAGAAGAATTTGGCATCAGGATTGCAGGACGACTCATCGACAACCTGTACCACGCAGATGACACAACCTTGTTTGGAGAGGTGACAAAGACTTGAAGCACCTGATCTAGAAGTCGTAGACAACTCCATGGCACATAACATCAACCACCATATATGTGATTAAAATGTCTTATCACACTTATCTTACCAGTTAATATCTATAGTTGGCATAGTTTTCACTCGGCCACTAACCAAAAAGTTGGCAGTTTGAAGGCACCCAGAGGCGTCAAAGGTCTCACTATCAGCTCCTGTAAAGACTGCAGCCTAGAAGACCATATGTGGCACCGGAGTCTGCCATAAACTGAAGTCAACTTAATAGGGAAAGAGAGGAGGATTTTTTAATTGTTATTAAATGTTTGTCTCATATTTGTAAGATTGCATAATTTATGTTTATCCTACATTTCCTCCCTCCCTACCAGCCTGGGCCCAGAAAGGGGCAGGGAGGGTGGGCCATCAGAGTACCATGAAGTCTTCAACAGGGCACTTGGTAGGAAGCACTCTGAGACAAAATCATTCAACTGAATTACTATTTTTAAAAAGAAGTCTTCTAATAACTATATTAGTTATAGATATTAGGAATGTATATTTCTAATTAAATAGAAACTATTAAATAGGAATGATATTAGGAAATAGGTCCTATTTAATTAATTGCAAATGAATTCCCAAAAAAGCATCCCTTGTTAGTTAGATGAGATTGCTAAAACTGGATGTACAAGCCAATCTATAACTGATCACTCATGAGGGACACTTAGAAAATGATGGAGGTGAGGCTAGATCTGAAAGTCTAATATGCATCCATTTTAGAATAGAGAGGGCATGGCACTTGCAGGGAATATGATCCTCAATGACTCTGAGACATTGAGGGTAGCTTGGGGGGATGGTTGGCAGTTGGAACAGTTGTATTAGACACTGTTGGCCCGAGACATCCAGGAGTTACCTATGTTTCCCTTCAAATGGGTGGCCAGTTTGGTTTGCCTGATGACATCAGAAAATTCCAACCTTCCTGATTGGAAGGATCAAACTCTGTGGATGTTTGACAGTGTAGGTTGACAACAGTAACCCCTTAGAGTTTTTCTCACTCTTAACTTCTCCCTAGTGTAGAGAGGAGAAAACGGGCTTGGATTCAGCCAGAATCCAGAATAGTGGTTTAGACCCATTAGGGTTTAGGTTTTGTGGAAGGGAAGGAGTTGTTTTACAGAAATCATGGAAGGTAATCAACCAGATTCCCAAAGCGAGGACCAAATAAGCTCCACTGTGTGCGCCCTAGAAGAGATCGTGGAGGATGAAGTCCTAGGATCATCAGGTGAGTGGACTCAGCGTGTGGAGATATTTAAGAGAGTTCTGAGAGGGATTTGGGAGACTAATCAAAATGGCTTAGAAAAGGCCAACAGACTTCAAAGCTAGAGAAGATGGGTGGAAGGGTTTGTTTCCTGGGTGAGTGAGTTTGATTGACTTTCAAGGGAAAAGAGACATACACTGTGATCTCATTTCTTTACTCAGCTCCCTATGCAGAGGTTGTTCCCATGCCAGAATCTCCTCTCGGGAAGCGGGATTGGTTGACAGCATTCGGGGTGGAGGCAAGCCCAGAACGAGAGGACGCCTGGGCCGTGGAGTCTCTGAGTGCACTCAAGATGAAGCTGAAGAAACAGAGGGTGTCATCTGTGTTGCCTGAACACCATGAAGTCTTCAATAGGCTGCTTGGTAGGAGGCGGTCCCAGAAAGCACCCTTCAATTCTATTATCTTTTAAAAGAACTTCCAACTATACTTTTCCAATTGATAAGAATTCCCTGTTAGTTGGGTGAATACTTCAACCCTGGAGGTGATAGCCAACTCCATTATAAACCATTCATTCATACATAAGGGAACATCTAAAAATATAATAGGTCTGGACTTGGGTTAAGAATACTTAGTTTCTCTGTAAATGTTCATTAAAACTAATAAAATTTAATAAAAAAAAAAGAATACTTAGTTTCAATGATGTTTCTATGATCCTTTAAAACACTGACCTCTCACCTGCCTTTCTCAATCTCTAAATGTTTTCTCCTGTACCAAGGAGATAACAAGGCCATCTTCACACACTGAAGAGTGAATATCAGATGAGTACATGCCTGAATTACACTATGTCATATGAAATGGTACATCCACTTGCTATGAAGGGCATCTTTGTTTATTTAAAGATCTTAATCACACTCACCTTCTACTGATACCCAGCTCCTCAGGAAACTCAGGGTGGGGCATTACCATCCTTTGCCCCGAAAGGGTCTTCTCTCTTCTCTGTCACGCTACCCACTGGCCACAATTTCTGAAACTTCTCCAAGGGAAGCAGAATTCTCCTCTTCGTCCTGGATTTCCCCCACAGCCACTCAACTTTGGTTCCCAACCTAACAGGTGCTTTTTCCCCTCACAGAGGATCCTGTCGTTAAAAAATTCTTGGACTGGGACAAAGCCCTGAAAGTCTCTGACAAGGTATTGTTCTCAACAAACCTCTATACCTGTCCGAAGATGGAGAGGAAATCGACAAATCTCCAACCTGATGCCTCTCACAGTGCTCATTCCTTCATGATCTACTAACACCTCTTGTTAGGGTTCTGGAAGGTTCTTTCAGTATGAAGCTTTGCCTTTGTCCAGGGTCCTTTGGAAGCTGAGTGCTAGATTATAATGTTGCCCTGGATAGAGGCTCCTTGGTTTCTGAGACCTTAAATCCAGGCTTCTCTTCTCTAGCTCCTTCGGGTCCCCTTTTGCTCCAGTCTATTAAGGTCCCTCCTGACACCAGGCAGCCTGAACACACTCCTACAAACTGAGACTTCCTTTCCTCTGGCTTCCCAGATTTGCAACCAACCTCCTGACACCCACCCTTTTGCTCCCCGAATGAGCATTCTTACCCAACATAGTTTTTCTTTCCTGGTCTGCAGCCCTGCTCCAGTCTCCCATTCCCCAACCCCAAAGTTTCTCCTCTTCTGGAATGTGACCTCTCCCCTGTGGCCTCTTCTTTCTTGCCATCAGTACCTCCTCAGCATGGCCATCGCGTACTTTAGTCGGGCTGGCCTCTTCTCCTGGCAGTACCGGAGGATCCATTTCTTCCTAGCTCTGTGAGTAGTACGGTGCCGCCATACTCAATACCCAGGAAGTGTGGGCCCAGGTCCCTGGTTGGCACAGATGGTTGTGATCAGCTGCTCACTGAAAGGATGGCCGTTTTCACCCAGCCAGTGTCACCGCAGAAGAAAGGACTGGTGGTCTGTTTCCGTACACATCATAGCTAAAACCCCAAGGGGGCAGTTCTCTCTAACTCATGGGGTTAGCATGAATCAGAATTTCCTGCAGTGGGTTTTTGTGAGGGTGGGTGATCTGAGAGTGTGGGCAAGGGAGAAATGGGATACTCACATTCATCTCTCCCACTTCTTAGTATTGTTTATTCTGTGTATGATGGGGCAGTTCTACTTGGCCCCCACATCCCTCTCTGAATACGTAAGTATGGTGTAGTAGTAAGTTCAAACCCACTAGCCACTCCCTGAGAGAAGGATGAGGCAGTAAGCTGCCATAAATATTACAGCATTGGAAACTCTACGGGGCAGTGCTATCTGTTCCAGAGGGTTTCTGGGAGTTGAAAGCAGCTCAGAGACAGTGGGTTTATAGTGAGGAGTGTATTTAAAAACAATTATCCATCCCTACAATCAGCTGAAATACCAGAACCTTGACAGTGTACCAGCCAGCAGCACTTTACTTAAAGTCCTGTTAGCACATGCAGCCAAGTATTTTGACTATTCTGCAACCAGGCTTAAGATACACGATATGACCTCATTTCTATAAACAAAAAAGAACTTTATTCTTCACTGGGATTATAACCACAGGTCTAGAGGTTAGGATTTACAACACGTGTTTAGGGACAGGTATTTGCACAATTCAACCCGTAACAGCAGGCAGCAACCTTTCTGAGGCGCTGACCTTAGGTGGAGACCTTCCCTGGTTCTAATCCTAACAAGCAACCTGACTTCTGTCTCCAGCTACCTGGCCAACGACATGGAGGAGGACAACCAGGCCCCTAAACAAGACATGTTTTACTTCTTGTACGGGAAGAGCTATGCCCAGCGCCCACAGTTCCACAAGCTAAGACTGCAGATGGTCCGGTCCATGGGCTGGAACACAAGGGTGACCCGGGAAGAATGTGAAGAGGTGGAAACAATAAGATTTGGCTTAGGGGGTTCAGGCTGGACTGGAAAAAGAGGGCAACATGGGGGGTTGGCATTGAGATTTGGGGGTTAGAATGAAAGGGAGGCTGGACAGAGAAGAAAGGGGTGATGTAGAGATGATAATTTTCCAGAGGTCAGCCATAGGGCATCCTTAGAAGCAAGGATGGTGAGGCAAGGTCTCCCATATTTGGGCATGTTATCGGGAGGGAGCAGTCCCTGCAGAAGGACTTCATGCTTGGCAAAGTACAGGGTCAGTGAAGGAGAGGAAGATCCTCATTGAGATGGGCTGACACAGTGGCTACAGCAAAGATTTTCAGGATGGCAGAGGACAGGGCATGATTTTCTTCTGTTGTGCATGGAGGTGCTGAATTAGAGTTGACTCGACAATACCTAACCACACAAGTGCATCTTTCCTGGAGAGATCTGATGGCACTAACCAAAAAGTTGGAAGTTCAAAGGGAGCTCTGGTGGCCTAGTGGCAAGAAGTTGCACTGCAATCCCAGAGGTGCACGGTTCAAATCCATCAGGTTCTCTGCTGGAGAAGGAGGGACAATCTCCTCCTGTATCAGTCAGATCCAATTTGACGGTACATACACACAAAAATAATAATTAAAAAAATTTTTAAACGTGAAGCCCTCAAAAAAAATTTTTTTTTAAAAAGGTTGGAGGTTCAAACTCACCAGTGGCTCCACAGGAAAGAGGAACATTTTATCTGCTCCCACAAAGATTATACCCTTGGAAACTCTGGGAAGAATATCTAGTCTGCCTTGTACAAGACACTAGGAATTGACATTGACTCAACAGCAAAGCATTTAACAAACCTTGTCTTTCCAGATCCAGGCTTATGAACCTGAGCACTGGGCATGGAAGCGAGACCGTACCCTCATCCCCCCAGAGCACCAGCAGACCTCAGAGGCTTGAGGACATCAGACTGAGGAGAGGTATGTTTGTGCCCTAACCAGTAGGGACAAGTGATATATTATTATCCACTTGGGGAATCTGAGGAACCTCTTGCTTGATCCATTCTCATTCAGTCCCATGCCACATAACCTTATATCCAAATCAAAATGCAGCAGCTAGGTGGATAGAGTCAGAGCCCCATTATCACACAGTGACTACCACAGTAGGCTTGAGCAAGACAGAGGTCAAAGTATGGTGCAGGATAAGGAAATGGTCCTAGCTGTTGTTGTTGGGGTTGTTTGGTATGAGTCATGGTTAACTTGATGACATTGTAACAAAATGTGTAAAGAGCTGGAGTTAGAAAAATAAAAAAGGATTGACCCATTTGTCATTTATTAATCTGAAGGAACTGGAGAGCAAATTCAAGCCTTGAGTAGTAATACTTAAAGATGCTATGGGCAGAATACTCAATAATCGAGGAGGCAGCAAAAGAAGATGGAAGGAGTATACCAGAGTCTCTGTACCCAAAAGAACTGGCTAACACAGAATAATGAATGACATAGCATATGATGAAGAAGCAATGGTGATGAAGGAGGAAATTCAAACCACTCTGAAGGCAAAAAGGCCCCCAAATTGATGGAATATCAACTGACATATTTCAACAAACAGATACAGTGCTTGACATGTTCACCACATTGTACCAAGAAATCTGGAGGACAGCTAACTGACTGGAAGAGATCCATATTATTTATTCGCATTTCAAAAAAAGGTGACCCAAAAGAGCATGGAAATTATATTACTAACATCACACAGAAGCAAAATCTTACTGAAGATTGTAACAACAACAAAAAATGATGGGAACAGTACATTCACAGAGAACTGCCAGAAATAAAAGCTGGGTTTAGAAGAGGTTGTGGCACTAGGGATATCATAGTCAATGTCAGTTGGATCTTGGCTAAAAGCAGAAGAATGTAGATTTGTGTTTTATTTACTATGCAAAGGCATTTGAATGTGTGGATCACAACAAATTGTGGCTAACGTGGAGAAGGATGAGAATCCAAAGACACTTGATTGTGCTCATGAAAAACCTATACCTAGACCAGGAAGCTGCTGTATGAACAAAGGAAGGAAAAATCCAGGAAGAAGGGTGTCAGAGTTGTGTGCTTTCTCCATACTTTTTCAATCTATATGTGGAATAGATCATTCAGGAGGCTAGACTTTATGAGGAGGAGTGTGGCATTAGGATTTGAGGAAGACTCATCAACAACCTGAGTTATATAGATGACACAACCTTGTTCACTGAAACAGAGGAGGGCCTGAAGCATTTGCTGCAAAAGGTCAGGACTGCAGTCTTCAATATGGATTGAAGTCCACCATCAAGACAAAGATTCTCACCATTGGGCCAATTGTCAGCATCATAATAAATGGAGAAGAAATTGAGGTTGTTAACAATTTCAACTTACTCAGCTCCATAATCAACACTCTTGGCACCAGCAGTAAGGAAATCAAAAGATGAATTGCTTTGGAAAAGTCTGCTGTCAGGGACCTCTCTAGAGTGCTAAGGAGCAAAAATGTCAGTCTAGAGATTAAGGTTCACTTAATCCAAGCCATGGTCTTTTCAATTACTTGCTATCTATCATAAAGCTGGACAATGCCTAAGGATTACAGAAGAAGAATCTATGCCTTTGAGTTATGGCACTAGAGAAGCGTATTGAACATACCACGGACTGCCAGGAGAACAAAGGGGTCTGCCCTGGAGAGGGTAAAACCGGCTGCTTCATGCAGACAAGGATTGTGAAACTCCGTCTCACATACTTTGGGCATGTTGCCAGGAGGAATCAGTCCTTGGAGAAGGACATCATACTTGGAAAGGTGGAGGAAAGGTCAGTAAAGGAAAGGAAGACCCTAGATGATATAGACTGACACAGTGACGGTGGCAATGGGGCCAGGTGTGTCACAGACAGTGAGATTGGCTCAAGATTGGGCAAGGTTCTGAGTTATTACTGTTCATAGGGTTACTAAGTGTTGTAGTCAACTCCATGGCAAATAACAACAATGTAGTGATGCTAACATGAAGTGGTATTTGCACTACAGAAGTAAAGATTTAAATTAATACAAAAGGATCAAAGATTGAGTTTGGTGTAAAGCAGTATTCTCTTCCCCTGTGCCCTATACCTCGAGCAGAACCATCCTGAGTCTTTGCTACAAAGATTATTACTGGGCCTGACCTCTTTAGCACTACACAGCTTATGGAGTCAGGCTCACCAAAGTCCAAGACCCACAATTCAGAAACATTGTTCAGGACTGGTGTTCGGAATGACAAGCTGTTGTTGTTGTTATGTGCTGTCGAGTTGCTTGCGACTCATAGTGACCTTATGTACAACAGCCCTAAATTCTGCTCTGTCCTGTGCCAATCGCACTGTCTCCAATACACCCATCCCGATTACCCCAGTCACTGAATCAATCCACCTCATAGAGGGTCTTCCCCTCCTGCGCTGTTCCTCCATCCTCCCAAGCATGATGTCCCTCTCCAAGGATTGGTCCGTCCTTACATGTCCAAAGTATGTTAGACGAAGCCCCAGAATCCTTGCCTCAAAGGAGCCGCCTGGTTTAACCCTCTCCAGGATAAATGACAAGAGAGAGAAAAAAATGTGACCTCTAAAGTGAACTAAAGGTACTTTGATAGAACAAATGATTTGCATCCATCTAGCAAACTAAAGATTTGTGGTTCGAACCAACCCAGTGGCACAGAAGAAATGCTTGGGAATGTGGGTTCTGCAAAGATTACACCCCATAAAACTCCATGGAGCAGCTCTATTCTGTAATACATGGGGCTGCAATAATGGAACTTCCATTTGCAAGTGTAGCAAACAGCAACAAAGTCTGGTTAGGACTGACTTAGAATGTGAATGGTCTTGACACCCTTGAAGTCTGACATTGCTTCATTTTCTTTTTTGCTTCCAGATTTTCAGCAGGAAGACAACCCAGAGATGACAACAGTGAGGAAGGAAGAGAGGAGCCTCTTATACAAACAATCTAGAAAAACCCAAGCTCTACCACAAGGTGTGGATAGAGTCATCATGAACTCCTAGAAGCTGGGGGACCTTTCTAGGGGGTCTATGGAGGAACAAGGAAAACAAGGGTTTTTTCAAGTCCTTTTTCTTTCCTAAAATACCACCAACATTTTCCAATGGTTCATTCGAACTCCACAGAGTTGGAGGCTGAAGGTCCCACTCATTTCTTAATATATTTAGTTATCATTTAAAAGTAGAGCAAAAGGGCTCATATTGAGAAAAAATACTTTAATCGTAAAAAAATTAGAGTCATAGATTTTACACCATCGATTGTAATAGCCTGAGATCATAAATACCATTAGTATATTTTAGAAATATTGACCATAGAATAATTGTTTTATTTAGTATAATATATTCTATATGTATTTCAATTTTTTTCTTTTGAAAACATTATCACTGTAAGGTTTTGTGATAGGTATTATAATTGTTATATATACATAAAACTTTATCTTTGTAAGAGATATTGAAAAATCTGTTACAGTTACAGAGCCCAGTGTTAATCTATCAATTCCTTGTGCATAGCAATACTTTATGCGGTATTTGGGTTTCATGACTGAATGTAGAGAATCTTGTTGTAAGTTTTTTAAGCTAGCCTTGATACACTTAGATATTGTTTTAAAAAGGGCTGTAGAATGCTATCTATACAATGTTGGTGAAAGACATTAAAGATGAAAATATTTTATCTTTTGATTCTGTGAAACAGAGTTTGTCATTGGTACTACAGATTTTAAATCTACCCCCACCTTCACCATTTCCCCTAGGAAACTGGCAATTCCCACTTGGCTGTATGGGGCAACTCTTTGTCTTTGAAGCTGAGATTTCTTTTTGCTGATAAACCCTTAAAATCCACAACTCATCAAAAGATGCTCTTATAACGGGCTTTTGGTCCTAACAACTGCTGAAGCCAGTTGTCTCAGCAAGGGTCAATAATTTTAAATTTGACCCCTGAAACTGGAGGGAGCCAATGGACTTAGGAAAGGAGCTGGCAGTTCCAGGATGGTAACAGAGGAATTTATTAAGGGCTTGCTGACAAGGTTCTCCCCCGGTGAGTAGCAGGATGGACAGTCTTGAGTCTCCCTGGTGGCTATTCCCACAGAAGTAGACAGAGGTTTTATAGATCTGGTCAGCAAAAGTGCCTTACTGCCTGGGCCCCCATCTCCAAGCCAAGCCAGCAGTTGTTACCTAAGAGTAACTTAGCAAATGGGAGTGAACTGAGAGCAAGTGAGAACATAGCCATACTCCACCACACAAAACCTGTCATTCTATTTATTATGCCTTCTGGTTCTGCAGGACCCCATGCAAGGGGATATGTCACAACTAGGCAAGTAGTTGTTGCTACAGATGGAGGCAGGGATCATTAGAAGTTCAGCAACACAGGCAAACACAGAAAAACAATCCTGTATCCAGGAACAGACAGCACACAGCACAAACCCTCACCAGCTAGAGGGGGAAGCTAACCAGAATGCCATGAGAGACCCATCATCACCTGTGTCCAGGCCTCTAGCTGCTCCCTCATACGGCCTAGCAAACCGGTTCAGGCATAAAAGTACAACATTCAGTCTCCACTAGAAGACACACACCGCCTTAAGGACCTGTCAAGAAGTTCAGAGTCTGCACTGCAATCCCGGATGTATGCTGTTGAAATCTACCAGGTGCTCTACTAGAAGACGGGGCAATCTTCTCCTGTACCAGTCAGATCTGATTTGATGGTACATACACACACAAAATAATAAAATAAAATTTTGAAAAAAAAAAGATGTTCAGAGCCAGTCCTTTGAAGGGACTGCTATTACAACCTTTTCTACTAAGAGCAACATAGATTAGTAAATAAAAGGCAGAGGTAAAAAAATGTCCCAAGCACTTAATCTGCTGTACTACTCTATAATTTCTGACATTATTCCTCTTTTCAGTTCCCTCACGTCCATCTATATCTTTTTGGGTTTTGTG